CTTCGGTATGCACGATGGCGGCGATGTCGTCGGAGATGATGCTCTCGCGACCGGCGTTCAGGACCTCGAACCGGATGCCGAGGCCCTTGGCCTTCGACCACATGTTCATCCAGTGGCCGACATACTCCGGCCAGGAGTACGGAAGATGGTGCGCCTCCACGACGGTCGAGGAGCCGACGAAGACGATGCGCACCGTCTTCTCGGCGCGCGGATTCTCGATCGGAGGGCCGCGCCAGCCGATCTGGTTGGTCGTGAGGCCACTCGGAATCGTGACGTCGGGCAGGAAGCGATAGGGCGGCCGCTCCTGTCCGTCCGGCGCATCGTAGAGGAAGAGCTGGCCCGGTGCGTGGCGCAGGAACCAGTGATTGCAGGGATCGCCGGAAAAGCTGGTATTCCAGACCTTGAAGGCGTCGGACGGACGGAACGTCCAGCCGCCGACGGGATTGGCCTCGACGAAGCGATAGAGGCGCTCCCAGTCCTCGGGGATCGCCTTCTTGTTGGAGAGCGGCGCGGGCTCGGTGGAGAACCAGTCGCGCTCGACGCCCGCTGCGCGCGGCACCTTGTCGACGGATTCCTGCTTCACGCTGGCGAGACCGGTCGGCTCGCTGAGCGGCATGTAGAAGATCGTGTAGCCGTCGATGTAGCGGATGACGCCTTCGGCCACGACCACGCACAGGGCGATCGAGACCAGGAAGAGCAGCGCGTCCTTGAGGAAGCGCATTACTTGCAGCCCTTGCCCTGGTCCTTGCACAGACCGTCCAGCAGCGTGTTGAGTTCCGGCACCATCATCGTGGTGAAGGCGGCCATCGCCGCGCCATTGGGATGCGGATCGGGAACCGTCACCCACAAGCTCGCCGGATCGAGATCCTGCACCGTCGGCAGCATGTCGAAGAACGGCACGCCCAGCCCCTCGACGTCGGCCTTCACCTTGGCGGTGACCTCGGGGAACGGATAGGGCTTCAGCTCGCGCAGTTCGGGAATGTTGAACACGACCAGTTTGACACCCATCTCGCGCGCCGTCGTCGCGAACCCCTGGATGGCCTTGCGGGTCTGCTGCCAGCCGGCGGCGTCGTCCTTGTAGAGTTCGCGGTAGTAGCGCTTCCAGTCGGGCGCCTCGCCGAACTGGCGCATCAGCGAATCGAGGCGATACTTGAAGACCACCCAGGCCGCCGAATGCTCGTCGAGCCACGAAGTCTGGTTGTAGGTCGGCATCGGCTCGGCATCGTTGATGAAGTAGCTCAGCACGATGATGTCGGGCTTCAGCTTCGCGGCGGTGTCACGAAACAGGGTCA